ACTATATTGACATTTTAATTTTAAGAAATACAGTATTTGGTCCTTCGAATTCGTTAAATAAACTAAATGTACGTAAGTCGATCTACACATCCCTACTTAAAGCTTATCAAAGAAAAATCTATGGATTCTTTTTTTTTTTTGACTACGAGGCAGGTTTTTTATAATAAACCTACAATCTATCAGAAGAGATAGTCAATTTTGTTTTTGATTTTTTTTGAAAATTTAAAATCTATGAACGGAAAAGACCCAAAAAATGTGATTGACGGGGGAAGCGTAGTTGAGAACAAAAGGGAGTAATACGAAAATGCCGAAAACTAATTACCATGTTGAAAAACAGCTGATGGTATTAGGGATCTGAAGTTTGAATATTCACCAGGCATTTTAACTTATAATTTGTCAGAGGTATGACAAAGAAGGTTACGCCGTGTAAATCGTTAAAAGATCTTCTTCTGCCTATTATTAATTAATTATTTGTTCATAGACCACCAAAGGCGGGGATTTTTTAAAAAATATTTTTTCCAAGACCACCAAAGGCGTGGATTTTTTAAAAAAATATTTTTTCCAGGACCACCAAAGGCGGGGATTTTTTAAAAAATATTTTTTCCAGGACCACCAAAGCCATGGATTTTTTAAAAAATATTTTTTCCAGGACCAAAAAAGGCGTGGATTTGCAAAAAAAAAATATTTTTTCAAGGACCACAAAGGCGTGGATTTGCAAAAAAAAAATATTTTTTCAAGGACCACCAAAGGCGTGGATTTTTTAAAAAATATTTTTTCGTGGCGTGGATTTTTTAAAAAATATTTTTTCGTGGCGTGGATTTTTTAAAAAATATTTTTTCGTGGCGTGGATTTTTTAAAAAATATTTTTTCGTGGCGTGGATTTTTTAAAAAATATTTTTTCGTGGCGTGGATTTTTTAAAAAATATTTTTTCTAGGACCACCAAAGGCATGGATTTTTTAAAAAATATTTTTCCAGGACCACCAAAGGCGTGGATTTTTTAAAAAATATTTTTCCAGGACCACCAAAGGCGTGGGTTTTTTAAAAAAATATTTTTTCCAGGACCACCAATGGCGGGGATTTTTTAAAAAATATTTTTTCCAGAACCACCAAAGGCGGGGATTTTTTAAAAATTATATTTTTCAAGGACCACCAAATGCTTGGATTATTTTAAAAATATTTTTTCAAAAACAATTAATGGCGTAAATTTTTTTAAAAATATATTTTAAGGACCACCAAATGCTTGAAGTTTTGTAAATATATTTTTTCACGACCATCAAATGCGTGAATTTTTGTATAAATATATTTTTTTCAAGGACCACCAAAGGCGTGATTTTTTTCCAAATATTTTTTTTCAGGGCCACCAAAGCCGTGATTTTTTTAAAAATATATTTTCTAGGACCACCAAATATTTTCTCAAGAACCACCAAAGGCGTGAATTTTTAAAAAGTATTTTCCAAGAACCAATAAAGAATTCATCAACTGATACCTAATCTGTTTTAGGCACCCACGAAAAATTAAAAAGAATGGTACATCACTGCTAAAATCCATTTTCTATTTTTTTTCATTCCCACTCCAAAATTAAAATAAAGTATGAAAGCATCTCTCCGAAGCGTTCAGTACCAATTAAAGTTTCAGACAGACATGGAACTAAATTCTAATTTAACTTTTTCGACTTTAAACTTCGATTCGAAAATCGACTTTTCAACAATCGATTTTCGTCCAATAAAACAAATTACTGGTTTTTTTACCTCGCACCCCAATATTGATTTCGATTTAAGATTTTTCATCGATTTTTTGGGGCTTATCGTTTTTTTTTTTTTGAATTGGCTAAAATGTATTTTCAAGTTTTGATTTTCAACCATAATTTGAATTCGATCTTAGATTGATTTTCAAATGTTTTATGGGCATTGCTAAGAGAGTAGAAAATACGAATGAAAACTAAGTGGTAGTTGCATACTTTTTGGCGTCTAAAAAAATAATTTACGGTAAATCATGGATTTCATCAAAAATAGGGATACATAGGTCAACTTTTTTCTTTTTTTAATGCTTTCTTCCCGGCGTGTATAAAAACTTAAAATTTACCGTAAATCAATGATTTAATCAAAAATAGGTATACCTGGGTCGATTATAGCCAAAGTTATATTTGGTGCTGAAAAATCAAGAAGTCGATTTTTTTCTGTGGTGAAATTTGTAATGTCGCTTTTTCTTAATCGATTTCGCATTTCGAAATCGCAGATTTTAGTTTTCCATCTTGGACTGGTTTTTCCAAAATTTTCATGGACGCTGTTGAATGTGTAAAAAATGCGAATTAAATCTATTTTAATTGTTGGATGATTTCTGGCGTGTATAAAAATTGAAAATTTACCGTAAATAATATATTTAATTGAATGTAGGGATACATAGGTCGACTTTTGCTTATGCGATATTTGACGTTGTAAAAATAAAAGTCGACTTTGGAATGTGATAAAATTTTGTTAAAGGCAAAAATCGACATATTTTCGGCTACGTATTCCAAATTAAAAGACGATTATCGATTTCTACCACAGTTAAAAGTCTATTTTGGCGTTGAGAATTCCAAAAGTCGATCAATCGAATGTCGAATTACAGTTAATCGTGTGATATTTTCGTAATTCAACTGGGGAATATGGAGGCCAACTACTGTATCCATGTTGTATGTGTGTCTGTCTTTATGTCATTGTTTTTGTTGTTGTTTTTTTTTTTTTTTTGTTATTATTTGTTGCTGTTGATGTATGTATGTGTGTGTGTGTTTTGGTATTTATGTACTTTTAATATGAAATATGGTAAATACGAGGCGGTTATACCGCTTTACAAGTTATTTATTTACTTAGGTTTTTTTTTTTTTTTTTGTTAAAAACCAAACTCCCCAATGGCTGGCAAAGCTTGCTTCTTTCTAGCCACACGATGAGCATGGCCAGAGCTAGTGCGATTGCCATCAACACCAGGCAAAACAAATTCAGATGATCAACAATCTGCGTCGAGTGATGACAATCGCGGAAAGGGGGGGGGCGACAAAAAATTATTGCTACTCCTGGCATGACGTTATTCTTCAAGTTCAGCCAGGGTGAGCATGCGCACATGTAAGTGACTCTCACACTTACACATGGGCCAACTGGGTGGCAATCTATGGATGGGGTGCTCGAGAAATGTATACCTCATAATGATGTTGGAAGTGATGATGATGATCATCATCGTCATCATTGACGACGTCAGTATTTTCAAGTCATCGAAGATTATTATTTGCATATTTCTACAGTTTCAAAAACACAAATATTTATTTTTCATTTAGCAAAATAACCACACACAGCACACACACACACTCATAGGCAGATAGGCATATATTCCGTCAAGCCTGGTGAGCATACACAAAAGAAGATGCCTGCCTGCCTGACTCTTCAATGGATGGCAGAATGCCTGCCATTACACCATTGATCTTTGAGATCAATAAACTATTGAAAGTCAAATTAAGAAGTTGTGGTTGTTGTTATTTTCATTATGTTGTTGTTGTTATTGTATCCATCAATATATTACAAGAGTAGCAGGTTTTTTTCTCTCAAAGCCTAGAATATACTCAGCAACTATAGGCCTGGTATAAACGCTAGAGTATTTTAATTTTAATGATTTTTATACCGCCCACATGGGCGGGGCTGGGCCAGAGGGGGCCCCAACTACTCCCAAAATACATTATTACAAACAGGAAACTTCTCAATATTAAACTTTAAAGCACTTTCAGATTTATGTCAATTTTCTCAGATAGAACTCCAGAACTCTCCCAAAAATAAGACTCCCCCACGACCCTGTTTTCCTCACTTTTTTTTGTAAAGTGTTGTGTTGTTGTTGTTCTTTCAAATTCTTGTCTCCAGCCATTTAGTAAGCATTTACATTAACATTTTACAATTTAATTACCGCTCGTCACCACTTGTCTAGGCAAATTGCAATGGCCCATCCACAAGGAGATCCCTTTTCTTTATGGGACCTTCTTCCCGAGGAGCAGTTTGCCAATTTGGTCTCCGATGATTATGACATTAATTGGCCAACATTTGCATATTGCAAAGTGTTCAATTTAATTTGTAAATGGTCGTGTAAAATTTGAGGGGAACAAGAGATTTTTATGAAGAACCACAGAAAATAAAGAAATTCCTAAAAAAAGGGGGGGGGGAATATTCCATGGGACATCCTTTTAAAAGAAGAAAGAATAGTCCTTTCCTTCAAAATTAGAAAAATCTGTAAAATTTTTAAAATTTATTTTCTATTCAGAAGTATTTTGAAAGGAGCGAAAGTTCTATGGCTTCAGGAAGTGGATTTCCCTGCCATAATTACCCTCTTGAATTCATTTTTATATAGAAACTTTCTCAATAACTCCTTTTGCTATAGAAGGCCTTTCGAAGGTTACTCTACAGGATTCTTTGATGGACCATCCTTTAAAAGGAGAATGAGCCGACTATCCTTTCAAGGGCCTTCAAGTTGGAAAAACCTAATTTTTCTATAAAATTTATTTTCCATAGAAAAATCTCGAAAGGAGCGAAAGTTTCATGGCCTAGGTAAGCGGATTCCCTACGATTATTGTCCCTTTGAATTCATTTTTATATTGAAATTTTTCGAAAACTCTTTTTGCTATAGAAGGCCTGTCGAAGGTTACACTATGGGATTCTTAAATGGGACATCCCTTAAAAGGAGAAGGAGTAAACTATCCTTTAAAGGGTCTTCAAGTGGGAAAAACAAATTTTTTCAATAATTTTTATACAGAAGAACTTCGATCATGATTTCATGATTTCAGAAAGCGGATTCCCTACGATAAACATCCTTTAGAATTTATTTTTTTATTGAAAATTTGTCAAATACTCATTTTGCTATAGAAGGCCTGTCCAAGGCTATCTATTGGACTTTTGCTTGAATTTTAAGCCTTTGATCTTGATTTTTTTTTATTTGAATTCATTGACAAAAATTTAAATTAACTCTTATCCTTTCTTTTTTTTTCCAGAAAATATAACAATAGTCGGCCGCCCGGATTTTGTGAACGAAGATTTCAAAATAGCCCTGTACGCAAAGGAAACACAAAGGTACCTGTGTTTCAACGATCATTGGAAACTAGTTGGAATGGTAAGTAAATGATAAATTCAATTCAAAATTAAATTATTGAAACAATCCTCTAGCCCATATTTCAAAATTCTTAAGACAATATTGAAAATTGCATTTTCAAATCAATTTCATTTCAGAAATTTTCAAATTTTCTTAAAAGTTTTCTATTTTCTCTCCAATATCCCAAAAAAAAAAAAATATTTTTCTGCAATTGGGCGCCATTTTCTTATCCAATGTGAGGAACTTTTTTCCAAACTGGAAAGCTTATCGATGCCACTAAAATGAATTGTGAATATTAAATATTGCATTTTCAAATCAATTGCATTAAGGATTTTTTTTTAATTTTTCTCAAAAGTCTACTAAATTTTGCCAAAAAATACATTTATCTGCAATTGGGCGCCATTTTCTCATCCAATGTGAGGAACTATTTTTTTTTTTTCATATAAAAAAGCTCATCGATGCCACCAAAATGAATTGTGACGAGTAACATTCTCCTGAGTCGTATAATAAAAAAAAAATTAGTAACAATGCGACCGTAAACATTTGGGCGCCATTATTTTATAAACGAAACCATTCCACTCTAAAGGAAAATCTAACTTTTGTATTAAAATTGAAATATCATCTTTGTATCCTTAAAACTCTTCTTATTTAGTCTTAGTAAAAAAAAATGGGCCAGCAATTGGGCGCCATATTCGCCAGCTACTCCCAGAGGCTTCCGCATTCCTATCTCAATTTTTTTTCTTGAAAACTAAATAATTTTCCTTCCATTCTTTGTAAAATGTTTGGTTTTCAATCTTGGTCTCACGACCAATTGGGTACCATGATCACTTTTAGTTGAAAACATTCGAATCTATACAAAATTCTTTGAATATCCACTTTAATCCTGTTGATTTCGCAGGAGTTGCCATCATTTGGGCGCCATTATTAATTAACCTCAAAAAAAGTTGAATTCCAACATATCTTCTTTAGTTACATGGAAATACCCTCAGTGTCATACTTCTGAAATGTCTACTGATTCCTTTAAAAAAGAAAGAAGGATCACCACAAATTTGTGAAATTCTTCAAAATCCGCATTCCAACATTCAATGATAAAAGCTCAGTTTAGAGAGTTAGGGGATTGAACGGGTGGACACCAGTTTTACATCTCCTAAGGACCGAAAAAAATTCTACATTTTAAAAGATATAATCTTAGGAATAGAAAAAGTTTAAGAAAATAAATTGGGCGCCATTTTCATATCTACAACTGATTAATTTTAGGACCAATAGAATTTTCTAATTGGGCGCCATTTCTATATTTTCAACCACTATTTCTAAGAACAGAAAAATACCTCGAATGAGGAGCAGTTTTGATATTCGAAATGGTTAAGTCTTATAATCAGCAAAATCCTCTAATTGGATGTCATTTTCACATATTTTTGACAATTGATACTTAGGACCGTAAAAAATCGTCGTATTAATTGGACGGTATTTTCACATGTTAAACTGATGCTTAGGATCGAAAATATACTCTAATTGGGTGTCATTTAACATCTTAAGCCATTGATTTTTAGAACCGACTAAGTCCACTAATTGGGCGCCGTTTCTATGGTATATTCTTGGCAATTCATTGCAAATGTGTGAAATTTTTACATCTTAAGCCGTCGATTCTTAGGACCGAAAAATCCTCCAATTGGTCGTACATTCACATATTAACACGTAGTGTCGAAGGATCGAGAATATTCTGTCATTGAGGATCGTTTTCACAAATTAAGCGCTTGATTTATAACATCGACAAAATCCTCTGATTGGGCGCCATTTTTCCCAATATAAATTGTTGATTATTTGAACTTATTGAGTTGTCTAAATGGGGGCCTTTTCCGACGCTTCTTCGGAATGACAAATTTATTTAAATATATATTTTTAATTTTACTAACCTTAGCTCATCTAAGACGTTGGATTTTAGAAAAGTTACGCCAATTGGGCGCCACGATATCAATATATCCTTTTGCTTACAAATAACACTTATTATGGTTCTTCTAAATTGACACAACAATTTGAAACTGCCAGACAACGTGGGCAATTCAAATTTATTTCCATTTTTTTTAAAGACCAACTAAACAAAAGACAAGGATCTACATTTCCATCGTTGATATTAAAATTCAAAAAAAAAAGAGAAGGAACGGCAAAGGACTTTCCATTAATTGGGCACCATTAGTTTTATTAAAATCCCAATCAATTGAGTCCACTATTTGGAAAATTTTTCCTGATTTTCCATTTTTCCTGACGGCAATTAAACATGTAATTCCTCTCTGATTTGAAATAATTGCAAAATCCTTCAATATTTTAAATTGGGCGCCATAATTTAGTGAAGGGCACTTTTAATAAAAAAAACTCAACCTGTGTGATTTAAAATATTTAAAGAAACCCTAAAAATGTTCACAACGACGACCTTTTAGGTTCAAATCTAACTGAATTGACTTTAATTTGTTGCTCAAAAAAGCCAGACCAAAAATGCTCACCATTTTTATATCATTCATTCTGGGGCCCAACAAATATTAGCCGAAACAAAGACCATACCATCTTTTTATCTAAATAAATTGATTCCAATATTCAAAAAAAAAATATTAAGCCAACCATTGGGCGCCATTATCACTACTTAGTAATTTTTTTTTCCAAATCCAAGGGGTCACCATAAATTCTAATTCATTTGATTTGGTATTCTAAATATTCTACAAAATAGGGCTAATATGGTAAAATAGAGCTAATATGGGTCCCCAAAAAATTTCCGGAACAAAGCCCATCTATGGAATAATACTTCTTTTATGTCTAAATAAAATTATTCAAATATTTCAAAAAAAAAAATATATTAAGCCACACCTTGGGCGCCACTGCTAAATATATTTTTTCCAAACTAGAGGGCTCATAATTTAATTTTTATTCATTCATTCCTGTACCAAAAATCTTCAAAAAAATGGGTCTACTAAGGCGAAAGGAAGCCCATCCACCATCCAAATGGTACACATTTTTTGCACCTTAACAAATTGATTCCAGATTTATGACAGATTGATTGCATAATAATATTTCAAATTAAATTACTAAACCAAAATCTTGAGCCAACCATTGGGCGCCATTATCATTGCTTAATATATTTTTCACCAAACCCAAGGAGTCGTAATTAAATTTTAATTCATTGATTCATGCACTCAAAATCTTCTAAAAAATAGGGCTACTACGGCGAAAGGAAGCTCATCCATTGACCACCTTGTTTTTCATCTTAACAGATTGATTGAATAAAAATATCTCAAATTAAGTTAATAAACCGAAATATTAAGCCAACCATTGGGCGCCATTATTCGCAGCTTAATGATTTTTTTTCCAAAACCCAAGGGATTATAATTAAATTTTAATTTGTTGATTCTAGTACTCGAAATCTTCTAAAAATCAGAGCTAATATGCCGAAACTAAGTCCCTGTACATTGTGTCCATGTTTTTCGGCTTCACAGATGGATAATAGATTGATTGAATAATAAATTCTCAAATTAAATTGTTAAACCAAACTCATGAGCCAACCATTGGGCGCCATTATCACTGCCTAATACATTTTTTTCCAAACTCAAGGAGTCGTAATTAAATTTTAAAACATTGATTCAGGCAATCAAAATCTTCTAAAAAATAGGGCTACTAAGGCGAAAGGAAGTCCATCCATTGGTCACCATGTTTTTCATCTTAATAGATTGATTGAATAAAAATATCTCCAAAATATTAAAAATATAAACCGAAATATTAAGCCAACCATTGGGCGCCATTATCGCTGCTTAATATTATTTCCCAAACCCAACGGATTATAATTAAATTTTAATTCATTGGTTCTAGTACTCGAAATCTTCTAAAAATCAGAGCTAACATGCCGAATAATAATTTCTCAAATTAAATTTGTTAAACCAAAATCTTGAGCCAACCATTGGGCGCCATTATCACTGCTTAATACTTTCCAACACTCAAAATAGTTTTATCACTAATTAAATTATTAAATCAAAATATATTCCAACCATTGGGCGCCATTATCACTGCTTAACACAGTTCATTTCCAGACCCAAAGGGGTCATAAATTAATTAAAAAACAAGTTAAAAAGCAGTAAGTTTAATACCACCATTTGCAACGAATTTGGAAATTTTTAAAAAATAAAATCCCTAAACAATTCTTTTAAAATTTTAAAAATACCGAATATAGCCGTTATATTGGGGTCTATACGACGTGGACATACATAGGCATTGTTTGTCATAAGCCATCACCATATTCAAATTCGAAACTTGAAATAAACGGTGAATAATGTAGCTAAAATCATCAAAATATCGTATATAAGGAGGTGCCGTTATATTGGAGCTGTGCGAAGACCTGAACCAGCATAGACAATTTTCTGTCACAGGCTGTAGCATCCATTACGAACTTCAAATACCACATCTCAAACAATTTCGGTGGGTATTGTACCTAAAATCGTCAAAATACCGAAAATAGGGAGGTACTGATATATGGGGCCTATACGAATACCTGGACCCGCACAGGCAATTTTCTGTCACAGACTGTAGTTCCCATAACGAACTTCAAATACCAATATTGAAACAATTCCGGCGAATAATGTCGCTAAAATCATCAAAATACCGAATATCCGGAGGTACCGTTATATGGGGGGTATACGAAGACGTGGACCTTCACAGACAATTTTCTGTCATAGGCTGTAGTATCCATTACGAACTTCGAATACCAAATTTGAAACAATTCCGGTGAATAATGTCGCTAAAATCATCAAAATACCGAATATCGGGAGGTACCGTTATATGGCGGCTATACGAACACGTGGACCTACATGGCCCATTTTCAATACCAAAAGTCCTGCAGACATAATATACATTTGAGTGAAATTTTACCAACCTTCTTCATTTCGTTCGAAAGCTAGAGTGATTCCCACAGACGAATAGACGGACATACGGACGGACATTTTTAATTCGACATTGAATTTTTGACTTTTTGGGGTCTAAAATGTATATTTCGAGGTGTTACCAACGGAATGACAAACTTAATATACACTCCATACTATGGTGGAGAGTATAATTAGGCTACTACGGCGAAAGGAGGACCATCCACTGGCTACCATGTTTTTCATCTCAACAGATTGATTCCAAAACTCAAAATTATAATATCTCCAATTAAATTATTAATCCAATATTATGGGCCAACCATTGGGCGCCATTATCACAGGCTAAGGCATTGTTTCCATATCCCAAGGGCTATAATTCAATTTTTGTTAATTCATTTTAGTAAGAAAGAAAGAAAGCCCAACAACCATCCTCATGGTGTCCATGTTTTTTATCTCGACAAATTGATTCCAACTCCAAACAATATTATCTCCAATTAAAATATTAATCCAAAATATTGGGCCAAACATTGGGCGCCACTATCACAGCCTAAGGCATTGATTTCATAACCAACAGCTCATAATTAAATTTTTAATTCATTCATCTTAGTACCAAAAATCCTCTGCTCCAACAATTGGGCGCCATTATCACAGCCTGACACATTGTTTCCGAAATCCAGAACAAAAAAGAATCTCAAATTTATGGCACGACCCCAAATAACCTTTTTTATGACCTGCTAATGGTTTGACAACAATTTGAAGCAATCACTTGACCTATGAGCCCACCATCCCCCATCGCTTACCCCCTCTACTTTTCCCTCAACATTTTCGCTGATGCGTTAAAAATCAAATAAAATTAGCTGCAGCCAAACGAAGAAGAAGAAAAGGGAAATATTTTCAAAACAAAAGATCCTTTTTCTTTGGTTTGGCGATGAAATTGAATCCCCGCCATCCAACCAATCAACGTCGAACACAAAATTATATTGAAATTTATCAACACAACCGCATAACAATAACTTAACATTCCATGGCCTCTTCACTTGAGAACAAAAAAAAAAAACAATAACAATGAGAGTTTTTTTTCGGGAGGGGGTGGGGGAGAAACGGCCTGCATGCTCCAATGGATAAAGGGAAGACTGCAGGCTGGAGATATGATTATTTTTTTCGTTGTAATGAAATAAGCCAAACCCCCTTTTGATTTTCAGTTTAGCTTCCCCACACCCTTCCCCCTCCCTCTTTTTTCCATTATTGTTTTTTCTTCTTCTCCAACCCCCCCCCCCCCCTCTTCGTTTCCCTCCCTTGTCTCCCCTTTATTTAAGGCTTCAAATCTTTAGTGCAGTGTGAATTTTATTGATTTTTCCTGTCCTCTCCACTTGAAAATTTTGTAACAAAATATTTTTAAATCGACGCACAGGGAAAGGGGTGAGGTGGGGAAGGCCTGAGGCAGGGGTAGGGATCGGAAAGACCATAACAATTGCTTATGTAAACCAAAAACCAATATCAAGTGTTTTATAAATAAACACTTGGTAAATGTTTAATGTCAAATGCATGCCTGTCTGCCAGGAAGCCACGCAGGCGCACTTGTCTTGGTTATGGGAACATGGCTCTTCTTCTTCTTCCTCATCTTCTTCTGGCAATTGTTGAGGTTTTATGGATTTTCAAGTGTCGGCATGCATGGCATGAGCCGTCTGGCATTGCTCCATTTCTCACCATCATCAGTGTCATCATTAACGGCACATGTTTGGCTGGAGGGTTTCTCAAATAGTCCGGTTGTTTTTTTCCCTCCTTTTTCAGATAATTTTCGTTGTTTAATTTCCTTTTCTCTGCTCTTCTTCTTTATTTACAGAAAGAACTCCAAGATACCTGCTATTTCAACGAAGCCATTGTCCACGGTTATTTCGTTTTCAGCTCCGTTGTCGATCGGCGGCGACGCATCGGCTTCACGCAACGCGGTAGAGCTGTCGGTCCCAAGAAGGTCGTCAACGATGCCTGTTACATGTTCACCAAAATACCAACTGATCAGTTTTTCCATCAGCACAATCAGTTTTTCCAACAACAGCAACGCGTTCGGGCCACCACCGCTCGGGCGCCACAGTCCGAGGAACACCTGGGCAGTGGCATGGGCCGTGGCAGCGGCAGCGGCAGTGGCCGGCCAAATCGCCACCGGAATCAGCATCGTAACGAGGATTCCTCAAATCGCCAGCAGCAACATGGCAAAAAATCCAAGCTGCACAGTAGCGGAGCGGGTCAGGGTACGCGCAAGCGGCAGCATCAACAGCAGCGTCTGCAACAGATGCGTGGCGGCGGAGATTCCAAAAATAGCACTTACTTAAGTAGTTCTAGGCAACACAATGTAGAATTAGGCCAATATGGCGCCCATAATAATCATAGCGGTAAACATCATAACCACTCTCAACCTCAGTATAGTCATCACCATGCGGCTAGGCATCATCACAGCAGCAGCAGCAACGATTCGCGTAGGCATCATCATTATGAGCAGAAGCAAAAGTCAAGAGCGCATCACAATCGCATGCGTACTAGTCCCTCTACAGCAGCAGCAACAACAACAACATCGACAACATCGACAACCCTGATGTCCACCATGCCAAGCAAGTCCTCAATGGCGCCCAACAGCACAACCCGGACAACCACCATTGCTTCCACTTCCCTGGCTGATGTACCCCCAGTGCCCTCGGAGCAGGGAACTTTCCCGACAAGCTCTACAAGCACTACCACAACAACAATGGCAAGCCATCACGACAGTCTGAGCACTTCCATGGGTCACAAACACAAGGGCCGAAGAAGAAAAGCCCATCGCAAGCATGGCCTCCACAAATCCCAAACCCAAAGCCAGGGAAGCAATACCCAACATGACATCTCGCCGGAATCTTCAGCCGCTACCGAGGAGACCGCCGAGGAAGATGAGGATCTAACCACAGATTTCAGCACTTGGCCACAGTTGGAGCTAACCTCGGCCCAGGATTTTCCAGGTTCTGTGAAACCCACATCGGCCAGCCTACCCAGCTGGGAGACCTGGTATCCCTCATCAGTCTCGACGGCAACTTTCGAGCAGGAAAGCTCCTCCGATTATGCATTTAGTTCGATAAGTTCCAAGGAGCCCAAAGAGGAGGGTTACAAAAAGCTGGGCGTTTCCGTCTCATCTCCATTGCCTTTAAATTATGACATAAGTCCAGGGACAATGTCACTGCCATATCCAGCACCAACAACCACAACAGCAGCCTTTCCTGCCAGCTCCTTGGTCAGGCAGGAAGATCCTCCAAAATCAAATGATTTGCTCCCACAAAATACCTCAAAACAGACGGAAGCCAAGGAGCAGCAACAGCGTCTGGAGGATGAAATGAACAATGAATTCAAACTGCATTTGGCCGGCAACACAAGCAGCAGCAGTCTTAACCAAAGCGAAGAGCAGGATTCCAGCAGTGAGGAAGTGGAGGAGACTTCTGCCCCGGATGACAATGAAGATGAGGCCATTGCCAGCACAATGGCCAGCAAACTAAGTGATGTGCCCGAGCTAACGGTAACTTCAACGAATAATTTGATGACTGATTATATTTATGCCACAAGGACTGTACCCCTTACCGGGAATCACAAAGTAAGCAGACATAGGCACTCACATGAACCGGCAAGGCATCCCCATAATGCCATGCAACATCACAAGGATAAGTTGGCACTACAGCAAAAGATACGCCTCGAAAATGGTCTAATTACCACACCAAACACAAGCACGACAACAACCACAACAGCCAGCTCTTTTGCCGCCAACCCCTCAACAAGTCAGGCCACATTGGGCGCCAACTCAAAGCATGTTCCACAAAGCCTTAATACTTTTAGCGATTTGGAATCATCTCTGCCGGAGATAACAGCCAATACTTTAAGCTCAACCACTACTAGATTAATAACAGCCATGCCAACCTTAGCCACAGCCATGAGCCCCAGCAGCAGCAGCAGCACTCCCAGCTCCAGCACCATCACCTCGCCCAGTCAAACCACAACCCGTAAAACGTTACGCAAATCCACACAAAAACTGCTGGCCACACCATTTCATCAGCTAACCTATGTACGCAATGAGGCCGGCGAAATTGATATCGATAGTTTGGATAACATCAGCATGTATCCCGATCTAGAGGATAATGAGAACGTGAATGGTGATGGAGAAATGCAGCCACATCATCGGACCACAAGTCGTTTCACCATGATCAGTGGTTATCATCATCAGCAGCAGCAGCAACATCATCCCTCAACGGCGGCGGCCACATCGGCCTTGCCGGAATCAATACGTATAGCTAAAATTAAAATTAATCGAGAACGTAAACGTATGTTACGTCTACGTAACATTGGGGGTTATAATGCGTAACTAGAAAGGGTATGATGGGGAGGAGAAGGAGAAAACGAAAAAAAAGAGAGGGTTTAACTTTGCGGAAATAAGTCTGGCAATGCTGAGGGTTTTTTTGCTGAGAAAAGAGAGGGCAAATGGCTCTCTTTAAGATGGGCAAGTTGCACGGGGTATACGCTTTCAGTAACTGAGAAAGGTGGATGAGGTTAGAGGACAGAGTGACGCAGAAAAATACTAGAAATTTGGGGAACGCTTTTGAGATAAAAATCCGACCCCTTAGGCACTGTAAAAATGGTTTTAATTCCAAAATGACGGCGATCATGAGTTCTTCTATTGGTAACAGGAAAATAAAAATGCTAGTTAGTCCGCTACGTAACGTAAAGCAAGATATTAGATAACTCATCAATCACAAACTCCGAACGAATTAATTTGAATTGAAAAGTCGAGAATTAAGCCCTATAACCAAAGTTAATAGTTATTTTTTTCGAACGAAGACATACTCCTGAAACAGATCACCTTTTGTAAACAAATAACACGAGACTTGATTGGTCCGCTACGTAACGTAGAACAATAAATTATGTTACGCATTTATTTTAAACTCAAAACGATGTTATCCAAGTTAAGAAGCCATGAATTGAGCGATATAATCAAAGGTATTAGTCTGTCTATAACGAGATTACATCCTTCTGAAACAGATAACGTTTTGGTATCGGAAAATATGAAACTTAATTAGTCCGCTACGTATCGTAGAACAAGAGATTAGCTTACGCATTAATCCCAAAATCGGAAAAAACTAAAACAACTTAAAATGCCATGATTTGAGCCATATAACCAAAGGTTATAGGTTTGTTTGTGTAACGATGATATACTCCTGAAACAGATCACTCATTGGAAACTGAAAATATGAAACTTAATTAGTCCGCTACGTGTGGTAGAGCAATAGATAAGCTTACGCATTAATCACAAACTCAGAGCAAAGTAATCCTATTTGAAAATCAATGATTTGTGTCATATAACCAAAGGTATTAGTTTGTCCGTAAAGAGATTATATGCTCCGGAAACATATCGCGTATTGGTAACTAAAAATATGAAACTTAATTAGTTCGCTACGTATCGTAGAAGAAGAGATTAGCTTACGCATTAATCACAAACTCCGAACGAACTAAAACAAATTGAATAGCCATAAATTGAGGGATATAACCAAAGATAATACTTTATCTATGGAACGATGACGTGCCCCTGAAACAGATCACCTTTTGCTAACTGATAATATAAATCTTAATTAGTCCGCTACGTAACGTAGAACAATAAATTAAGTAACGCATAATTCGCAAATTTAGAAGGAATGAATCCACATTAAAAAGCCATAAATTGAGCGACATAACCAGCGGAATTAATTTGTCTATAGCACGATGACATACACCTGAAACAGATCACCTATTGGTAACTGAAAATATGAAATATAATTAGTCCGGTACGTATCGTAGAACAATAGATTAGGTACACATTAATCACAAAGTCAGAACAAAGTAAACCAATATAAAAAGCCATGAATTGAGACACAAATCAAAGGTACTAGTTTGTCTATAACAAGATTGCATACTCCAGAAACAGATCAGATACTGGCAACTGAAAATATGAAACTTAATAAGTCCGCTACGTATCGTAGAAAAAGAGATAAGCTTACGCATTAATCACAAAGTCCGAACGAAGTAATCCAAACTAAAAAGCCGTAAATTGAGCTATATACCCAAAGGTATTACTATCTATGGAACGATGGCATACCGCTGAAACAGATCCACTATAGTTAACTAATAACGTGGAACTTAATTAGTCCGATACGTATGGTAGAACAATAGATTGAGTTACGCATTAATTACAAACGCAAAACAGAGTATTCCAAATTAAAGAGCCATGATTTGAGCCATATAACAAAGGGTGTTAGTTTGCCCATACAACGATGACATACTCCTGAATCAGATTAGGTAACGGCTACTGAAAACATGGAGCTTAAATAGTCCGCCACGTAACGTAAAACAATAGATTAGGTACGCATAAATCACAAACTCCGAAGGAACTAATTTAAATAAACAAGTCGTGATTTAAAACCACATAACTAAAATTATTACCACGTTTATAGGGTGGTGATATACTTCTGGAACCATTTTTAATATAAAAAAATCCGATCTGGTTACTTAAGCACGTAACTCAAAGAAATACCTTACGTTACGTAGTTGTAAAATGTTTCACAAAGTCTGTGAGCGTTCAAGTCCTAATCATTGCGGTTTCAGGGCACAAATCGAAAATATTATTCTTCAAATTGGCCAGTTACTAACTCATCTAACCAGATCCAACAAAAATGCCCTTATTTAGTCTATCAGGTAACGTGGTACTGGTACTGCTGCCATACGTTACGTCAAACTCAATGATAGAATGAGCTAATCAAAAACTGAAAATTGTTGGTTCAAACTTACAAAACATAACACGTAATTTTGTATGTAGGTGTTTAACTTGCTCTTCTTACTATTTCCAAGTTAAAATTCCACAATTAGTAGACAACGTAAAGTAGAGGAACAGTTACCATGACAAACAACGTAAAGCAATACCATACGACACCTCAATCACAAACTTGCCTGTCTTTTTAAATCAAAACAAAAAACTATCGTGAGAAGCAAAAAACCCTCAGCATTACTCTCAAATCGGTACGACTCTCAACGCCTTGTTTTAGGTTAACCGGCAATGCGTTACGTTCTAGACTAACCACAGACTTAAAATTACTAAATAACCAAATATAAACACAGAAAGAGAGAGAGACACAAATACGTCGTATATTTTGTATGTATGTAAATAGTCAGTGCTGTTATTGAAAAAAAAAAATGGAAACAAACGAAGAAAGAAAGAGGACGATGGGGAAAGCAAAAAAGGATTAAAATTTTAAGAAAAGTGGAAAGGCAAAGTTATATATTGAATCCAATAAAAGTATTAGCTAAACGCAAACAAACAAATAATTAACTACAATTAACTAAATATACATAAATAATACATAAATATATATACATTAACATAGAAATAGCAATATAGTACAATAGTCAATAGAAAAATTCTAATTAATTGCCATACAACAACAACAACAACCAGAACAACAAAGAAACCAAATCCAAATAGAAATACAGAAATAGAAATTCTAAACTTAAAATAAACTTTATAGGACAGCATAGGACATAAAAAAACGATGAACTGCAACAACAACAACAACTGGTATTTATAAAGTTTAGGACTTGTTTTGAAATTTGAAAAACTAAAAAAAAAATATAACCACATTTAATTAATATTCCTATGATATTGCGTAACAAAGGAAGGACAATTTGTATGCTAAACAAAGACTCGGGAGGGGAAATGAGCTGGACAACAACAGGATAATAACAACAACTTAATTAGAACAAAAAATTACTAAAAAATATTCACTTTTTAATTTGTTTACTTAATTAGCTTTCGTAAATTACATTACTTTGCCGTTACGTGCGTACGTACGCACGTTACGTTACGTTACACTACACTAACTCAATTCCATTTACGATTTGTTTCAAATCTAATTTTTAATTTGTTTACTTAATTTGTTTTCGTAAATTACATTACTTCGCCGTTACGTGCGTACGCACGTTACGTTACGTTACACTGCACTAACACAATTCCATTAATGATTTGTTTCAAATCCAATCTTATTTATTTGTTAACATTTTTAAACTGCAGCATTGGACTCTTAAAGAATATTTTCATTTTAACATACGTTACGTCCCACTAACTGCTTTAATGTATTCTTTTCCATCTTTCTTTTTATACCCTACACCACATAGTGGTAAGGGTATTATGTCTTTGTGCATTTGTTTGTAACATGGAGAAGGAAACGAGATAGACCCATAGTTACTTTTGAGAACCTTCATAGAATCACTTTCTGAGTCGATTTATGCATGTCAGTCCGTCTGTCCGTCCGTCCGTCCGTCCGTCCGTCCGTCCGTCTGTCCATGTATTCTTGTGAACAAAATGCAGGTCGCATTTATTATCCGATTGAGATGAAATTTTAGAGACAATATTTTTTTGGCCCAAGGACGAACCCTATTGAAATTGGTGAGAATCGGATCAAATTTAGATATAGCTCCCATATATATCTTCATCCAATTTCGGGTTAAATGTGCACCAAATATCCACTATCAGTCCAAATTACCTGAATTTTGGCACACCCAACCGAGTTCGGCCTAGAAGCAAGTATATCAAATTTTGAGAAAATCGGTTCAGATATAGCTATAGCTCCCATATATATCTTTCATCCGATTTGATCTTTAAGTCCCTCACATTCCTACTATGCACTCCACAACCATGATATTTGGTACCAGGTATTAGATGGAGCACAGAAATAGCTGTTTTAAATTTTATCGAAATCGGTTCAGATTTGGATATAGCTCCCATATATATCTTCATCCGATTTCGGGTTAATTGACCACCAAATGGCCAATATCAGCCCAAATGGCCCGAATTTTGGCACATGTGACCGAGATTAGCCTTAAAGCAAATACAACAAATTTGGAGAAAATCGGTTCAGAAACAGCTATAGCTCCCATATATATCTTCATCCGATTTCGGGTTAAATGTGCACCAAATGTCCACTATCAGTCCAAATTACCTGCATTTTGGCACACCCAACCGAGTTCGGCCTAGAAGCAAGTATATCAAATTTGGAGAAAATCGGTTCAGATATAGCTATAGCTCCCATATATATCTTTCATCCGATTTGGTGTTTAAGCCTCTCACATTCGTAATATGCACTCCACAAGAATGATATTTGGTACCAGATATAAGATACAGCCCAGAAATAGGTGTTTGTAATTTTATCGAAATCCGTTCAGATTTGGATATAGCTCCCATATATATCTTCATCCGATTTCGGGTTAATTGTGCACCAAATGGCCGATATAAGTCCAAATGGACTCAATTTTAGTACATCGGACCAAATTCAGCCTAGAAGCAAGTATATCAAATTTAGTGAAAATCGGTTCAGATATAGATATAGCAACCATATATATGTTTCATCCGATTTAGAGCTTTAGTCCCATACATTCGTAATATTCACTCCACAACCGTGATATTTGTTACCAGGTATTAGATGGAGCACAGGAATAGCTGTTTTAAAATTTATCGAAATCGGTTCA